AAATGTTATTATTAAATAAATTGGAACTTGTGCATATATATATACTTATTTTATTTATTTTAATTTACACTTAGATGAACATTTAAATATTTAAATATTTGAATAACAAAAAATTATTACGAATTTATTGTACAAGCTCCGAAACATTTTGTATGTATTTTAGATTATTCGTTAAATATAGATATATCTTATTTTATATACATGCACAATTAACTTGTGCAATAATACAAGAGTTATAATCGATATCTTGCATTTATTTTTCATAGAGAGAAGTTACAATGTATAGATAGAATATCATTTTTCATAAAAGAAAGTTAAATATACTTTTACTACTTTTACTACATATTTTGTATATCTATATGATTTTATTTGTATCACATATATATTAATCTTTGCATTGCATAGTCAATCTTAATAGCGCAATCATTTGTGTTCTTTTATTTCAAGCGTTAATTTCTGTGGTTTGTGCAAAAATATTGAGTTTTATCAAATGACTTTAGAATCAAATGTTTTTACTTTTAAAAGTAGCATTTGCTATGTATTTCATATTTGCCAAATTATTGAATTTTTTAAATACAGAATTTTTGTTACGTGGACAAATTTATAGGGCCAATCCAAATACAGATACAATGCAATACATGGTTTTATTTTCCCAGCGCACTGTGCAACTGCCATCAGTAACATTATCCCAATAACATGAACTTGCTGTATGAAGTCCAGCTCCATTTTTCTGCATGATCGTACAAGTCACTGTATATAATTTAACATTAATGAAAAAATTTGGATGAAAAACAAATTACTTCAGAAATTATATAAAGATCTATATAAATTTTTTTTCTTTTCTTTTTAAAGATTATTTATGTTACATACCAATATATTTATAAGCCTTCTGTAGTTTTGTAAGATTGCCTAAACATGCCTCTACTACATTTGAGGTCCATTGGTTAACCTTATTATGCTGATATGTATTGCCGCCTATTGATACTTCAATCGCTTCTTTGATGATATTGCTCACATCATCTACTACAAATTGCAACTAGAAACAAATCATAAATAATTTTATATAAAACAACAAGGAAATACTTATAATTTACCTAAATGAATATTAAAATGCTATTTTGCTTTTTAACATTAAAAGATAAACGAATGATTGATAAACAGCTAAAAAACTAATACTTTGATTTGGAAAAAAAATTTAGAGGTTGTTTCAATCAAATACAATAGCATTTCACATATTGCTTACAAATTCTAAATAATCTTTGAAAGTAATTAACAGTAATTACAGTAATAATCACTAATTTATATATATTTTTAATTTCTATATCTCACGTTAAATACACAGTAAATTTATCATTCAATTAATATTGTCAGAAAATCTGTAACTAACCTCCTCTTGTGCATCCTCCATCTCAAGCAAGCACTAAAGATCACTTAAGGAGTATTTTCCGTAACAATTTAGAGATTATTATTCATCCGATTTAGGATGATTGTCAAGTTTGGCGTGGCTGCAAAATGAAAATCCCACAAAATTTAGATTGTACACAATGATCGGAGAATTTCGGAAGATCACTGATTCTTCTGATTTTCCGCGTAAACCGTAAGTACTTTCTATTTCAAAGCAGCAAAATTATTGTACTAACGAGATCCGATCGTCGTGTTGCGACGTTCGTTTCGTTAGAATTATCTTCTCTAATACTGCGTGATACTTTATTCGTAATTACAGCCAGCCATAGTCAGCGAATAATCCTCAACCCAACCTTTTCAACTGTCACGAATAACAACCCGCCGGTTGCCGTTTTCCCCGATATGGAAAACTTGAGACAGGGGTTCTCAATCTGGCGGCATTCATTAGGAAATAATATTCTTTCACATGCAGGATATCTGCAAATTTTGACTTTTTATTTAAACGAGAATTTCAATTTCGTTTCTATGTATTTATTTGTACAGAAAAGTTCATCAACTAATATAAAACAAAAGAAAGACCTTTTAATAATGATTTTTTTTTAGGATATCATTTTCGTAATTTAATGAAGAGTATTTAGGTTCATACAAGGCTATTGTAGATATTAAAGATATAAATGCAAGTAGCAAAACGATTTAATCGTCCCTTAATTTTCTTTTCGATTAAAGCAATCGACTAAACTGTAAAATATAAATTTTGTAATGTAAGCGCGACTGTGATTCATATAGTATTTATTTACACTAATATAAATGTTATAAAAAGAAACAAAGAAAAAGAAAAATACAAAAAACTAAGAACAAGAATAAATCAGAAGAGTCACAAAATTTGAATTTATCTTGCATCAAAAATAAGTATATAATAAAAAATGTATCCTGGAATTTCGTAGTGCACTAGAGAATATTTTTAATATACACATATTAATAATATAATTTATTATTAAATTTATTTAGTATTGAATATAAATTTTTACAGATGACTGTTTTTATTTATTATTATATTAAAATAGAAAAATTAATTTATAAAAAATATAGATGAATTATGAAGAAATAAAACTTGTTCAATATTATTTTTTAAATTTTAAATACAGATTTATTCTCTTATTCGATTCTTAATTTCTTGAGAATTCTTAAAATTTTCTTAAAAATTTCTTAAGAATTTCTTGAGATCATCTTGAGATGATTTATTCTATTACAATCAAACAATATACATATAATAATAGATTCCCGATAATTACAAACGATTATTTTTATAATAATAGTTTAATCCAAATATCTTTAATATTGGTCACTTTTAAATTCTTATTTTGTATTTTATTATAATTTGTATAGTATTTTGTAATACGTACACACATACATACAGCGAGAGCTAGTTTATTTATTATAACACACATAAGAGGTCTACATATCTATCTTTGATAGATCGGAACGAGACTATTAAACAAAATAGCAAATGCACTGATAATAAATAATTTAGAAAGTATTTAAAACATAACAATTATAGCATTTAATGTTAGGTCATCGAAAGATGTTATAACGCCTCGTATTAGTTAGATATTATTCGCAATATTATAATAATAATTGTTAGATATTTTGTTTTACACACATTGTAGACGTCATTAGCCTTGAGAAATGTTTACGCGCAGCGCGTATTGTATTTAGCTCCACGTGTTATCATTCATTCATTGGCGTTTATACGGGACGGTAGCAGTGCACGTCGCTCCGCGTTTCTTTCCATTGTTTCATTGATAAACGAACCAAATGTTGCTATAATTTATTGTATAAATATAATTATAAATGTTTATTAACGCTTGATTAACAATGAATAAACGTATCGAAATAACAACTTTTCAACAAAGCATATACACATTTCGCGCGACTTATTTCTTCAAAATTTATAATTACTTTTACATTATGTTGTAAATGATAACCCCTCCGATGGATACGGAGAGGTACTTCCAAGAGTTTCCGTATCCCAAAAACGAAAAAACGAACAGTACCCAATACACCATTATTAATAACATTAGTATTAAATATTAAATACTAAGGGTTACATATCTCGAAGGGTTTTTAATAATAGTCTAATCTGAATATTTTGAATACTATAATGTTGAGCATTTTAAAATTTCTACAGACTTAAATATAATTTGCATTTGTAATACGTATTTCATAAGCGTATTTCATAATTTATTATAACAGATAAAGTACATAAGACACATTATCTATCTAAATGAAATATTTATCTATCTAAATAAAATAAATTTTAACGCTAAATAAATGGTAATAAGTCTATAAGGGTGCGTTTGCTTCGGATATACTCACACGCTATAAGCATCATTCTATCTTTATTATTCATTACACGCCAAAGATAGAATAATACCAGTGTGTGAGCGCCCAAAACGAACGCATCCTAAATGAAATAGCAAATGTACGATACACACTATTTAAAAATTATGTAAAATGTAACAATTATATTATTTAAAGTTCCAGTTATTGAAAGATGTTGTAACGTGGTAAATACATTTTGTTCATAATTGTCGAATATTTCCGTTGTAGCCGAATTATTGTTATAACCTTGAGTTGTGTTTACACGCCGCGAGTAGCACGGCTCCACGTACTACCATTCATTCAACCGGCGTTCGTACGAGCAGGTAGCAAATCCCGCTGCTCCAAATTTTTTCGCATTTCTCTGATACCAAATAAGAAAAGCCTTGAGAAAACATCAGATGGACGTCGTGGATACAATACATTATCATTGTAAAATAAATGCGCGACAGTTTCATCACGTGAATTTCGTGCGATCGTAGTATTAGTTGGTACGGCAGATTTTCTACAAATTAATTGTATGTATTCATAAATTAAACATATATTGGCATTGTTTTGTTTAATGTTCGGAAGAACTCGAACTATAATATACAATAAATGACATATAATAGCAGAAGTATAATGTAAGTATTATGATCGATAAAATATCTAATATACATATTCTATTAATAGTATAATAATTATTAAGTATTCCAAAACGATTATTATAAATATATTATATTATTTTTATATTGCATTATATTATTATTATAAATTATATTTCAAGATTAATTGTAGATTGTTATAATTATTATTTTTCTTTATTATTAAACAAACTTCATATATATAGAAATTTTTCGCAATCATTAGTGCAAAATAGTGCGAGTGACTGAATTCGGGATTTGTAACATCTGTAACATCAGACGCCAATTTGCAGAGTATAAAAAAAAATTCTTCTCATGAGAACCACTGTAGCAGTGATATTTCAGGAGATCCGAAGGCAGACCTGAGTTCGCTGAGTTGGCAGGCCTGCGAAGGCGCGGCAAACGGCGCGGCTGACGGTCGCTTCGCGAAGTATCGTTTTGAAAAGTAACGGCGACGTTGGGTCGACCTGTGTGTTTCACGTTCGTGCGTTTCGATACGTCAAGATATGTGCGAGAAGATACGGCGAGCCTGTTAGAACAATGACGGAGTTCGAGGAGACGCTGGTATCGGCGGTGGAGCTCGACACGTGAGTAAAATCCGACCAGTCCGAATCACGGACCAATCTTTTGACATCCGAATCATCGTGCATCGACCCCCTCCGCGGGGTCTCGCAGTCGCACGTGGGGCCCCTGCGTTTGTAAATATAAATAGACACATATATTTCTGCCTCTGTAACCCGTACTCTGCACGATACATTTTTGTACGGATACATCGACAAGATCCAATCTAATAAATTTCAGATTACAAAGCGGAGCTACGGGATCACGAACTCGGAATTAAATCAATCAGAACAAAAAAAAAAAATTAAAATTACGATTATCTAATTTAACGAGTTTTCAGTTTTGTAATCCGTAATCTCCAATTAGTCTCACATAGCTTTCATAGAATTTCACGGATTAAAATATTCGATAAACAAGTGGGTCACTTGTCATTTGAGTGTTTATTGTTTAAAAGATTTCCTTACTTTCCTATAGAAATTTTATATCGTATTTGTGTTATCGGACATATATTTTTAGATCCATCTCAATTTCCTATTATAATATCCTCTATTTTTTATCATTTATATGTTTTTTTTTTATTTTTACATAAGTATAATTAAAATAAGTTTTCTTGTATTCCAAATTATTATTTATAGCTTATTAAATAATTTTCTTATAAATTCCCTTTCTGTCATTTTTTAAATAATTTTTCACCCTGATATGATGTTAAAATGATGTTAAAATATTTAGATTTACTCGTATTTGCGTAATTTAAGAAATAACATATTTTTTCGGAAGAAAGCAGGCAGCATTGAGAATTTAAATAACATGCAAGTGACATCGATATGTCATGTAATTTCGCAACATGTATGCCACAATAAGTCATGAATTTGCTTACTGTATGCGTTTAACATCTGTTATCTCCCTGCAGGGTTAAAGATCATCTTACATATCACAGTGGTTATCAATCTCTTGCTCATGTGCTGCGTCGATCTTAAAAGCGAGTACAAATTTTAAGGGAGACTTAATTTAATTAGAGATTGATTCGACTGTCAAAATCACGATTAAAATTTCTAAGTATAATCCTGCCTCTAATCTTCTAATCTTCTTTTTGTGTTAAACAACAAAAGATAAAGTTTTATCTGGTTTAACAAAGCCCGTAATACTTACGGGTATTATTTGATAAATTAATCGCCGATTAGATTAATCAAAATTTGTTCCAAGTTAAGCCTTAAAAGTTTAATGAGAAAAAGAATTATTGATGTTAAATGTTTTCATTGTTCAAATTTGAGTAAGGAGCGTCAATTAAAAGCTCAAAAAAAAAGCTCAAATCTACTGTATGGAAAGGAAAACATAGGAAAAACTAGATGGAAACTTAGTATTTTATCTCATTTTTTATATAATATCAATTTTAATTGCGTTTCCAAATAATTTACCATGATCATTCGACTGAGAAACCGTGAGTCCTCGATCGGTAATTCGTTTTCGTGTTTTTACAACCTTCCGTACTCCCCTTTTCTGCTTCTGTCATTCACTGTTAGTCTACCCTTCTACGCATCTTCTCCTCTCTTCTTCATCTTCCCACATCGTTTCTCCCTGTTTTGTTGGTGTATGTATGCGATGTTCTCATGATGCCCTTTTTTCCCCTTCCGTTCTTTGATCTGACAGTACAGCAGCGTTTACATTGACTATCGCGTGCTGATTTACACGTCCGTTGATAACGAAGAAAGCGAGAAGGTCAGGAAAATTTGTAATAAATGTAAAGTATGTTCTTGATTGACATTTAAGAACATCCATTTAATCATAAAGAACAAATAAATTGAATTGATTGATTTTTGTAATTATCTATCGGTACATTCGGGACATACTAAAGTGGGAATTTATTTTAATAGAGATGGATTACCTTTTTGTAGAAAATAATTGAGCATATATATTCAAATTTGTAAAAAAATTATGAGTAATTCTTAGAGAACAATATTAAATTTAAATGTAATATCTTGGAATATAAAATATTCCTTTTAATTATTGAAAAGTCGAATTTTATCTAGAAATTGAAAGAAATCATTAAAAATTAAACGTTATCTAAAGAAAATTACGCGAAATGATTTTCCAAATTTGTAATATTTAAGGATCTAGAATATGAAACAAGTAATTATTTTAATTAATTAGAAATCAAATTTTAAGTTGAAGAGAATTACTATTAAAAGCTAAATTGTCATTTACAAGGAAAATAATTATGCGAAATGATTCTTAAAATCTATATTTGTGATACTTAATGGCTATTTTCCAAGTTTTAAATTTCTTATTAGAGATTTTTTTTATCCCTTTTAGATCTCATGCCAGAGTAGAGATGCTGTTCCCTCGCTCCATTCCCCTTTGGTTTCTCCGTAGTCGACACGGCGCATCCCTCGCGCTCTCCTGGTGTCCCTCTCCCCCGCGCATTCGCCTCCATCCCTCTATTTCTGCTCGACTCGTGTTGCCGTCTGTCGTCAGTCGTTTTCAGTGCGCCGCGCGGTACACGGACGTTTTGGAACAGGATCTCCGTGCGGATCGTACGTCGGAAAATTCTTTGCGACTTCGCTCGCATAAACAGAGTCGAATCGACTGACGCAGTCCTTTCCCGCGTATCCAACAACGGATCGCATTCAGACGAGGCGTCATCGTCGAGATAAGATAGCGGGGCCTCGTAACGAGGAGTCTTCATCCCCTTCCGGGAAATCGACTCGAGGCCCATCGTGTAAACCCGTTTGGATTACTGTCGACGAGTGACACCGACCACGAACATCTCCGGATTGTCGACGCGCGAGATTCGTGACGGCCGTGGGGAATTATCTGACGCGTCATCCAGTGCGAGAGTTGATTCCATTGATCGGTCCAGCTACGCGGAGGAGGATAGAGTACGTTCGTGCTAACGCCGCCGCTCTCGAGCAGACCGATTCCAGGACCTTTTCGGATCCTTGACTCTCACGTGAAGGGAAGAGGGAAGGAGGGAGGGGGGGAGCATGTCTCGTTTATACGAGGACATGAGTGCAATTTTGGTGGTTAATCGCGGAGAATCATCCACGAGAACCTGATTGACATTTCCTCTGAAGGACACCATCGTGTTCCTTGTCGTTTGTGTTTTTTAAGGAGAGGAAAAGACGTTGGTATTTTTGGAATTCTAGAGAGATTGATCTAGAGAGATGAAGACATAAAAATTGCATTTTTTTGCGAAGACGTGATCGGTGATTTTGTCTCGTTATCGAGCTTCTTTTGGGACTCGGATGGTAACTTTGTAGTGACGGGGATTTAGTGAACGAATCACGTGTTTTCGTTTCTTGATTGTTACCGAATTGCTGCGGAATGCTTCTCGGTGGCTGTAGATATTCCATTCAGAATCAGAATGTGTCGTCCACGAGGACCAGCGCCTGGAGTCCTTATAATTCTTTCCGGAAGTGAGTATCATATACATAATTAACCGAATTAATTATTGATTTATTAGCTTGAGTCTCGAAATGTCAAATAATACAATAGGTCTTAGTATTACCATTTGAATTCGTAACTAGTCTATTTGTTTTTAAATTGTGATATTAACGTATTTATCGATAATTCGAATAAAAATTTAATTATAATTATAATTGAAAAGATATTTTTTTGAAAATGAAATTCGAAAGGTTTTTAATAAATTAATACCAAGATTGTAGAAAGCGAATTTTATTAACAATGTTATTGTTAATCTGCAAAAATATATCATTTAAAATATGATGTTTGTAGAGAGAAATGAAACAATAGTTTTAATTTCGAAGATATAAATATTTCGTGAACGATTTACTTCTTGAGCTTAAATATTTCATTTTTAATAAATTCCATTTTTTGAAACAGTTCATTGCTTATGAAAACGCTAGAAAAAGGTATTGAAGATATCATGCTTTCACTGTCGTAAATGATGAATATTATTTTCACTTTGTCAAGTGCATTATCAGCATTAATAGGGTTAATGCAGGTTAATGATGAAGTCTTTGTGTTCTTTATCGCATATCCTTTAACATGCATGCATTTAGGTAATGCCTATTATAACATACTTACATAGTCTTTGACAGAAGCTAATAATGCATCATAAAATTTGATAATCTATCTATGATATCGAGTACAGAGAATATATTTTTTCTAATTAGCCGATAATATACTTATGATGTGGCGATATGATTATGGTTATTATTTTATGATTATTAGCGTGTGAAAAATCGTCGGTATATTTTTATTTCACATTTAGAACACGTAATAATTTTTTTCTACCGTGAAATAAGGAGTAAGCAGAAGTTTATTAGCAGCTATTGTATCGCATAATGTATATGTATGAGGCATCGCATTAATCTACATATTTATAATCTATTTAAATATTCATATTTTGCAATATGACACGGGAAGAAGTCTTTTTTGTCTTAACATACGAAAATCGAATTATAAATAATGAAAACATGAAGTTATAATAAGCGGATAGTTTATCTGAGTAGACGACATCGTATTGTAAATAAAAGTCTACTGACAGGGTCCAGCTAATTATTTAACTGCTCGGTCAATTCATTTAACGAAGCGTTAATTGAGGAAATTTGCACGGCTGACACCTACGTGATACATATATGGTAACCAAGTAAAGACCTGAATTATCTCATATGGAAAGACACTATTCGTATCTCTTTATTATTCATTGAATAAATAAACAATTCCAAGAAATTATGAAAACGATTACTGATACGCAGTTGGAAAGAATGAAAGAATCATACCAAATATCACGAAAGAATTATCAAATATCAAATATCACGAATTTTAACTCACATTATTATCTAATTACCATTTATTAAAATTAAAATTAAAATTATTTACTATTATAACAGTGGCGAAATATTAGTAATAACAATAATGCTATTGATTAAACTCTCCTTTTCTTTACATTTCTGTTATTAGTATTCTTTTAAAAAATTGAGAAAATTAATACAAGTCATTTATAATAAAACAATTAATAGGTTTGCAATATTTGTTAATGTATTAACAATATAAGAAACGAGATGCATGCATGTTCGGTCTATGCGGCGGCTGCTGTATCCGATATACTCTATATCGATTATTTGTTATATTCACATTGTCGGATGATGGCAACTGATGGTACATGTTTTCGTAAGATTGCCTCTTTATCTCATGTCGCATCACAAGTGATGTCTTTGTCTTTTATTTGTTAAAAGAACAAATGCTGTTCATTTTTTAAATGAGAGATTCGCTTTGCTTCAATATATCATAAATATTTTCCAGTATTTAATTTTCAATTTATCTCTATTCTTATCTCATCTTTATTATGAATATCAAATTCATAATTGTTATTAATTCTAAATGTAAATAAATGTATGAGAATTTAAATGGAGTGATTTTTATCTACATTAAAACATATGATATTTTTCCCTCTTGTTAACATATTCTAATTAACAGTAATTCTAATTACGTTTTTTCAATAATAATTGCATTCTTTACAATAAAAAATATTAATTAAAAAAAATTGAATTTAAATAGATTGTTTCATTTTTTGCCGGAAGAAATATCGCTAACGTAATTTAAAGTTAAATCATTTCATCGACGTACACATTGTATACAAAAGCACATAAATGAATCATATTATATCACGTAATGCGTAATTACAGCTGTGAACGAACCCATGTTTAACTGCATTATCGCATAATGCGTGTCTTATAATCGTCCCTTTGAGATCCTTTAACGTCATCCGACACGCGTGTCTCCGGTTGAACTGCAAGATTCCGAGAAGTCCGTATCCGGATTGGTTAAACCTGCTGTAAGGGTAGTGCTTAATATAACGATGTCGAATATACAGGAGTAAAGTTGAAAAGCTGACAGTTGTGCACAATGCATTTGTTGTTCAGCCATACCGAAGAACATTCAATTATCAAATTGGAAAATCTGAATTTAATAATTTGATAAGATTGTGAATTTTATTTTCTTCATAATCTATGCAGTCGTAATATTTAACGCTGCTAGAATCTTTAAGTATTATTTTTCATATATTATATATAATATAATTTTTTATTACAGATAAATAATTTTATATAATTTCCGTACGTATTTTCGAAGAAAATACCAAACATGGGTATAAATAATTGTGAGCGACATTAGACAAGTGTACCATTTCTATACATTAAAATGCTCGCCTTATGTAATGGCAATATGAAATTGTGGTATTATGTCCTTCCTTATGTCTACCACATGTCTTCTAATTATAATCGAAGATTATACACACGGTTACAACTCTGCGAATACTCGATATGCGTTATCTACATACCAGTAAGCCAGTTTCTTGGGACTGTAACATACAATATGCACAAGAATCTTTCTAATAATCAATATTGTATCAATAATTTACAAAAATTTTATTTATATATATAAATATAATAATAATAATTTAAAATCTAATTAAATCAATCGATCAATTGTATATTACCAATTAAGCAGCAGCTATGGTTCTTGTTTCGGTTTGACTCAATCTTCGTGGAAAGTATGCAATTTCTGCGACAGCCATTATAAATCTCTTCACGTCGTATCTTTAAAAATGCGAGATATTTTGTCACGGTTCTGTATATTATGACCGTGTGTTTCTCTTAGAATATCGCCTTTACTACGAAACGCGATACTCTTTGCACGGATCCTATGCGTTGTGATTCGCAAACGCTTCCCATAACATGGCTATTTTTAGCTTGCGATATTCGGTAGATACATTTCACGAAAGAATCTATACTTCTGAATGCCATTCTCTTGTTTCAAACCAATTGTATAATTTTTACTCATAAAATCAAAGTGTAGGAATTTGCAATATTATTTAATGTATTTCTATTTGTATAACATCGTTTGATCTTTTCGGTTGATCGGTTTACTTTATACAAGTTTTTACTTTATACAAATTTTTTAAAATGCTCTTTTTGCGACACTCTAGATACATTATGGATATTAAAAGAAAATTTAATTTATTAAAAATATTGTTTTTTCTATTGTTTTATGTCAAACGTATTACGATGATAAGTACAGGTTTGGCGAGATATCAAGTGATTCAAGAAGTTAAACCTGAAATTCTCTTACGATAAATAGTCTGTGTTATCTTCTGATTGAGATTGAGAAGTTATATATGTTTAAGGAAGGCGTACATATTTTCAAGAATTTTCTCAGAAATGTTTTCTCAAAGAAAATTAATTTGGGTTTTATATATATTTACTAAACAAAAATAACTCTCTTAAATAAAATATCTAGAATATATAATATCCTAAATTGTTTAAAAATTTCATACTTAAATTTCATACTAAAGAGAGCGTAAATCATTTATCGATCTTCTGAGTCACTGTATGCTTTTCGCTTATATATTTCACACCTACATTTTATCATACTTTTCAGTTAATAATTGGATTTATTTTTTTCGGTTTACACGAATGAACATTTAATGTGCTTTTTATTTATATATCATTCTTCGAATATTATTTTTATTAATTTAATTATTATTATTTTTATTAATTTGATATTTGTTATATTTTAAAATGTAAATTTGTTCTATTATTGTTTCTATTGTTTTGTTGTTATTATTGTTATTATTTTTATTTTATATTATTGATAATTTTTAATTGTAAAAGCATATAGTATAGAAAATATTTTAGTGAGATTCTTCATAGAATAATTATAAAACCATAAGAAATGTATCAAACATAATATTACACAATAAGAGTATATAGTTTTTCAAATAACTTTTGGATTCATTTTTCTTTCATGAAGTAATTATATTATCACTTTTAATTTATCACTTTTAAAGTAATTTATTTGATCTTTAATGTTACAGCATTGAGATTGTAATTATTGTTAATTTTTATAAAATATAGTATGCATTTTATTGTAAAAACTTTACATTATTTCCTTTTGAAGTGAAGAAATTAAAAATTTTTTATTTTCATTTGTGTCATTTAACTGTCATTCTTTTTAACTATCTTTACAATGTTTCCAAACCGATGATTTTTTATCTCATATGTTCTTCTCGGATATCGTGTTTGTACTTCGATTTAGAATCCGTTAGTATGACTCGCCGTTATAGAATAACGTAAAAGATGTGTGAGACAGATTAATTACTCATTTCGCAACGCTTCGGAAGACGAACGAACGATAGAGAGAGAGAGAGAGAGAGAGAAATAGAATTTACCTGAAATCTAAATAAATCCTCACTGGAAATCCTATGGTTCTTTGACCGAGAGAGTTGCGAGACGGCTCGGCTGCAATGGATTAATAAACCCTCGTAGAGAATACTTTGCACCACCTTAAACTGCACCAGTAATAACTTCTAGGTAGGACTATAACCCGAATGAAATAAATTCCGCATAAACGATTAATTTCGTACAATGAGTTCTATCTACAACCATTACGGAAATAGCTTGTTACATTTCATTATATAATGGAAATTTCAATAAAAATATTCTTCTATTAGCATTAGTTTTTTTTTCATAAGTCTTTAATATTATCAATCTTCTAATTAATAAACAAATAACAATATTTAATTTTATTATTAAAAGGAAAAATTATATATATTTAGAGAAGAAGATACAAGTTAATTAAATACTAGTAATATACATTATTAATTATTTATTATTATGATTAAATTATAATAAAAAAATGTTACACATAAGTGTTACACATATTACATAAAATATTTTCTTACAACATTCTACCATATTATTTTACAATTAATATAAATAAGTTCAATATGTGATGACTCACTTCTAAATCTTGAACTAATAAAAAAAATTATGAACATGTTTCGAAAAATTGGAAAGCTATTAATATAACTAACGTTCTATTAATAATATTGGCAAGCAAGCTTCATTCGCGCTCTTTATGCTCTTATAAATCATTGTCCACTCACTTACGTGGCGACGTTGACTTTATTATGTCAGTTTTTTGGTTTTAAATGTTTTATCAAAGTTCTAAATACAGAACATTTGATTTGATTTTTTTCAAACGTTTTATCTAATTCGGTCTTTGTTATTTCCTGTCAAGAACACATACATTTTTATACCATTTTTGGTCTCATTCCGAAAATAGCTGCTCATTCACTGTTCTTCATTACCTTCTATTTGTTACCTTCATTACCTTCGGTAACGCTAAAATTAAACGCTAAAATTAAGTGCTAAAATTATTTGCTATACGGAATAGTTTCTATTATTTTTCTATATATTTCAGTGATATTTCTGCATGTGCTAAATACGAAATTACATAATATTTATAAGAAAGTTGTAAGAAAAAATGTGCACGTTTATTTTTTATTGTTATTATATTGTGTGACTAATTTTTTAACTTTATTCCACTTTATTACAGCACCAATATGCCGATGCAGGAAATCACAATGAGTCAAACCCTGCCATTGACGAACGGTGAGTAATTGTATTTGTATTATATTTTGTCAAATTTATAATTTCGATAATATGATTTTAATTTTTTATATTTAATAGTGCAATAATTTTGCGAGAACTAGGTTTTTTAATTAATATTAAGGACTTGTATCGCGTCAGTTAATAGCAAAATCACAAATTATAAGAATTCATCATTTTATTATTATATTATAAAATAGAATAAAAAACTTTTAGAGAAGATGAGAAAAATAGCTAAAAAAAAGCGGAAAGAATTTAAAAGTATATATTAAAAAATTTCATAAATTTCTTCATCTTCTGTTATCTTGTGTCATGCTTCTTCGATGATGCGTACAATTAATATTTCTTTGGGAAGAGCGATCCTAAGAATAACCGGATATAATTTTACGCTCTATAAAGGCGAAGGCGAGGCGGAAGATCGTATAACGATCGTATAACGAACGATTATACTCGTATTTATTATTTACGGCCTCGTAGCGGTGATTATATCATATATCGACAGATATCTCGATCAGTTCACCACTTGAATGAGTCGTCATCGATATTGCAGACGATAAGGCGACTCGATTATATGGCTTTTTCTCTCGCACGCCCATCTTTATTGGTCATTTCCCTTAAGTAATTGAATCCCCCTCCGGTTCTATTCCAATTACAGTTGCAACGCGGTGTGATGCTGTTAGCAACACTTTCAATTATACTGCTCTTATGCTGGCTACCATTTATCTCAATCGCGAAATACAAAAATTAATCTATCTTTATAAGCATTTATCTATACAGGAATACATGACAATACTTCTCTTTTTATTTGATGGGGATATTTGGTAGGGAATTATTTTTATAAATAATTCACTTTTTAAATGAAATAATTAAGCTTTTTTTCGAGAAGGATTATTCAGAATTTACTAATTTTGTTATTAATAAATATTTTCGTATTTTCTTTTTACTTACAATAGAAACTATTAAATAATCGCGTAATTAAATTTTATTAAAAAATATTAGTGAAAACACACACACATACACAAGTGTAATTATAGAAAAGAATTAATGTAGATCAAAATTTCATAAAAAATAATAAAAAATTAGAAATGTAGATTATTTTTCATTTACAAATATCTTTTATGCCACTATGTAACATCTAACAATTAGATTTCACGGAGTTAATGTCCAAATTTTCGATCGACGCGTTTGCTCGTCCAAGACAAACAGAAACTATTTTCGACGCAGAATCCATAAAGCTGTTCTCAGCGCATACGTTAAATATCACTCGCGATCAGATGTGAATAAGTCTTTTAAATTCAAAATAATTTGGTATCAAGATACATTTACTGTAAACAAACGTGAATCTTTTTAATTAAAATAATTTTATAAACATAATAAATTTTTATATCGCACATTAAAAATAGCGCATATTTTCCCACTTCTAACAACGGACATTTATAATTGGTTGTTCAGAGGCCGTGTGAAAATATAAATAAATAGGAGGTCGCTGCTAATTTGCTGCACACTGTTCGTTACTCTAATTCGCATGATCTGCATTTTTCCCCGTTAGTCGCTGATTGTTCGATGTTGTTACACGGAGATACCGTTGGAATCAGGGAGAGAATGCTTATACGCATCCCACAGGAATGACTGGTCTGCAGTTATTTAAGCTTAGCAAATCCACAGATCCGAGTTCAAAAAATCGACATCGCGGACGCGTATACATTTAGACATACGTATACTTATATATACATGCATTTTTTCTGAATGATAGTGTAATAAACATTTGAGAGAAAGTGAAAGCAATGATGCAACGTAATTTAAGAGTAATAAGAAGAATAGGAACAGAAATAAGACTCAAATACCCATGTCTTTCCTCCATCTAGATGGAGCAGAATCGCGGAAGCTGCTGGAGCTCATTTTTTATTTATAATTCTTAATTAAAAAGAAAGATACGTAAGGAAAGATACGTAATGTGACACTGTGGCCGCCTAATTGTATCCCATACCGTGGTGTAAGGGCAATGAACTGTCTTATTCGGGCAACGACGTCGACGAGTATAGTAACGTTTCGCACAATGTTCTGTCAATTTTTACGCTTCCGCGTCTTATTCCGCGGATCTGTTTAAGACTTTCGGAGGTTCTGCTTGGTAAAAGTTAGCTTAGAGATCGAACACACTACAGAAAATTTGAAATACTGTACACACAAAATTATATACGCAATAATATAATATAATTATATACGCAAAATGAACTTTTGAAGTTAAAAATATACACGAATTGAGATAAATTTGATCTTTTAAACTCCTCTTTTATTTGTAGATATTATTTAAGATTAATCATTAAATAATTCTCTCTTGCTAATTTTTGTCAATTTTTCGACGTAAACGAAAATTTGTTGACATTAATTTTTTTGTTTTTAAATTTTATCTGAAATGCTTAATCTTTTTTTTTTTCCAATTGTGAGAGTGTCAGTTTTATAGAGATTTAAAAATCTGAAGGAGTCTTAATTCCTCGACCCAAATTTTATGATTTATTTCTCGTCATTGTAACAATCTAGCAGGGTTCAAATTATATCAATTGGAACACATCCGCACTTTGATTCAGCTCTCAAGGGGATCTAAAATGGTAAAATGGTCAAGGTCATGAATGCATTGCACATCGTAAAAACGAAATAGCGCATAAGATTGATGTAAGCAACGTTAATAACGTCTTCTAATCCTATTGAATTGATTGTTTGTATCGTCTGAAAAATGTCTACCGCGATCTCGTGTTACAGGAAGCGAGCATTTATTTCGGGGGTTCAGAAGCGCGTTCATGACGATGAGGTAGGGGAACCACTCGAACGACACAAACGAAGTGGCGAGACGTAGTATGTATTTATTTTTGTAACACAGAAGAAAAATATAATTTTGTATTTATTTTTAAGTCTATGCAACTTAGCTTTCAGAAAGAATATTTTTATATTTAATACATAATTAGAAAATTATTTTTTATATTTGCGAATCGTAATTCTCATTATTATCAGATTCCAAAGTTCATATTTCTAGTTTATTATACTTTGTATCAGCAGTTTATAAACATAAAACTTTTAAACTTTTCGATTTATAATTTCTTATGATTAATCTAGAAAGTTGAAAGCATTAGTGTTAAGAGAATTCTTAAGTATCATCAAATAAATTTCATTAAGATAATTGGACCAAGTAACTTTGAAATTTCTCAATTGAGAATAATTTAAAGATACATAAAAGATATATATATATATATTGTACATGTATCTTTTATGTTGTATTTAAAATATATAAACGTAATCAATGATTATGATGATTTATAATTTATATAAGTAAACAATATATTAAAAAATTAAAATATTAAATGTTCACTCGCAGAAAGTAATCTGAAATATAAAATTAAATTAATCAGCTTTCCTTCCTTATTCTAAGATATATTTTATAGGAATTATGCAATATTGTATGTACTAATTTTTTTAATGTTTACATCATATGGTAGTGACGTAAACTTTTGTCCTGATGAGATTAGTATTTTTAATGCGTTATGAAATGACATGTAAGATTCATTTCTTGACTGAAGTGAAATCGACTTTCCATTTCTACAAATTTCACATCCTACTGATAAGCAGACACGTAGTCTATTGGAGAAGTCTCGAGTGTCGTCGAGCCCATAAGCACGTGGCGTCGCGCCCTACTAGTTGGCCTCTCAAAATAAACGATATCGTTTGTTTCTAATCCAGGTCTACCGTAGGAATTATTGGCCAGCTTCTTGTTACCCGGAGATGAGCGAGCCAAAGCTTCAGCTTTAATTTTGCGCTTTCTCTCTACTAGAGACAAGTACCCGTCGTTCAAAACCGAGCGACGCTCAATAAGAAGCTATTTCGCGGATGATGATTAACGTGGGATGACTCATATATAAGCGACCATTGTAATGCGCCAGATGTAACGTATTAATAGAATACAAATTCTGGCTTAACGATCCTAAATAACAATTCTTTTCGTGAAACTTGATGATCGATTGTTAAAAAAATTGCATATCTTGTTTTTTAAATTATTATATAATATGCTTCTATATTCTTATGGTTTCTCAGATTTTGAAGCATTATTTAAAACATGAAAAATTATCTTATTTGAATGAGAGTCGGAGAGAAAAATTTTATGATTCCTCTTATCGAGATTGATATTAATTTTTATTTCGAGATTGATTTTAATTTATTAATCGAGATTGATTTTAATTTCCATGTTGAAAAAAGGTTTGAATGAATTATTTAATGATTTAATCAAAGTATTAAGCAAAAATCGGTTACACACACACACACACACACACCATATTATTAATTTAATTTTATCTTATAATTTTATTATTTTTTTATTTAATTTTATACTTATCTTACTAATTTTTTATGAACTCAGTCAAACGCAACTAATTAGTTTCGCTTGATGTGTTCCGCTCGTGTTTTATCTAAGAAGTCTATTTATTGAATTTGCACTTGATTTTCTTGATCAGCTATTAGTTATTTCTTAATTATTGAGGTCATAATCTAGAATACTAGTAATTAAATAACAAAAGCGACGGGAGGTATTCGCTTTCAGGAATATTCTCATCGAGCCGAAATTGAGGACAGCGGAAGTCTGAGGCGGCCGGTAAGATTTTAATTGCCGGCCGGGGACTGACCAGATCGGAGATCTGGAGAGAGTGGAGGCCCGCGAAGCGGAGAAGCTGACCTGCCAAAATAAAGATAGTTTAAACCGTTCTGGCCTAAATCTGTCATCTATAAATACGCGAGCTCTCGCTCTCTCGCTTCGCGGCATCTACTCGCTGGCGCGAATCGATATCGCAGTTACATTTCTGCCGAAAATCGCGGGGCCTGTCGCGAAAACGGCACCGTCTGGCTCGACCAGACAGGAAATAGATTTGTTTCGTTGGGCGCACAAAGCTTTCGCGTCTCTTCTGGCTTCTTCACGCTCTCGAGTTCCCCCGAGCTTTTTACGCCGACTATTAAGATACACGTGATGGCCTTCGATGACTGTTGAAAAACGAATTTATGTTTAAACATTATGACGGTATTAATTTTTGTGCTCTCAAGGAAATTCTCGTACTCATAAAATTTTCCTTCTCCTTTGTCCCGAGAGAAAGATATATCTAGAAAAGTTATTTTCCTTTGTTTAATTTAACAACGCGCAAATGAACAAATGATGCGGAATGTATTTTTTCTCATCATGAATATGATATGAATCAGATTTGATACGTAATTATCATGATTTTTAATGTGCGGAATCAGGAAATTTAGGATGTCGCGGATAATTATCTTTGCCAGTCGCCGTTCTAAGCGTAGAATGATATTTTGGATACGAAGAGTATGGAGAACGTGCGTATCGTTAATTAAGGCGAGATGGATCACTTAGCATGTTCCACCGGAAAATAACCGTTTCTAAGTAGCTTACGCAATTTCTGCATGAGCTTGTCGCGATTATCATATGAATCACGTCGGACGTTGCTTTACGCACTTTACCATCTTTACTATAAATCTATTTTCTTTCAACTCTAATTATGAATGAATTAAGATATAGAATTTTTTAATTTTGTTACATAAGAAATACTGTAATTGATAGTGAAAATTTAAAAGAGATTTGTATATAAAATGATCAAAGTCACTCCTTCATAGATCTCTTAATTTTAATGAATGAAGAAAATTCTTTTCTATTTTTGCTTATCTATTTTATAATAGATTTAAGTAGACTTTATCACGAACTTGATAAAATTTGTAAAAAATTAAATCCATGAAATTTTCGCTTAAATGTCAATGCTGCACTTGCCGTCCTTTGTGCGCGAAAGGATAGGATATTTCATTCACGCTTTTCGGAATGATCTATTCGAAAATGCATATGCGTGGATGTCCGGCCTTCGTGAGATACATCTATACGACATCACACGCGCATTTCGAACATAATTTTAACCACAAGTTATAGCCTTGTGTCTTCGGTGTAGCTTGTTGTTCTGTCGCAGTTAGTGTTTGTGCAGCCGTCGTGTGATCTCCTTTGTGGGGCGATGTCTCACTCGGTCCCTTTCGCAATTTCGTATGTACGTTTAAAAATGTAACGACTTCAAAAACGCGCTCTTCGTGGAATGGGATGCGGTAGGTCGCAGCTGAGACCTTTTCTCCACCCGAAAAATCTCGAGGGCGAGCCAGTAAGAATCGAAGTCATGTTCGGTATGCCAGATTTTATAAGATATACGATTTCTCACTTGCGTTTGATTATTGCTGGTTAGCGTTCGAATCGACGTTAAACGTAATGAGGGCGCGCTAAATATTATAAAATCCCGATTTTATAATTATGGTACATTGATAAATTGTGCCAAATCAAGCCATAGACATTGCAACAACGAAGGACACTGTAGTAGTGCCGACAATTTGCTTTCTGTTCGTTAGCAATTGCTAGCAAGCAAGTGATAAACGAGAGTAGCTCTAAGGACCACGGTTCTCTTTGAATGTACGAAGAGAATGAGAAGAAGGAGAAGAAAAGAGCAAAGAAAAGGGAGAAGAAACGATCATTAATTCTTTCAAAGCTTCAAAATTGCAAACATTACGGACCATTTACAAGCATTCTTGCAATTATCTAAATTATAAGAAGTTTTTGTACGCATAATTGTAATGATTATTTTTATAGAGTAAATAAAATAAAATAAATATTACACTGGTTGCTTTCTTATAGAAAATGATATATAAATGTAGTCGAATTTTGCTTACAAATAAAATGGAGAGATAAATTAGTTAATTTATTTATGTGCCAGATTTTTTTTGGAATATTTATCCTCCAACACGAAAGTGTTAAAAAGAATATTTTGGCGCTCGTTAATATGCGCCAAAATAATTTAATTTCAAAGGTGCATGGCAACGGCGCCGTCTTGCAAAGTGGATTTGGCATCGGTTAGATTTGCCTAGACAGACTAAAAATAAACTAATTGATTCGACAGATGCTTATCTGAAAATTATTTTAAAAAATAATATAATGTGAATTATTTGAAATTCACATACAAATTATAAAAATTTTTTCTGCTATCTTACTTAGATACATAAAATTAAAAAAGGATTGAGACAAATACAAATTAATGATGTTTTATAAAATTAATTAAAAAAATATTGACGAAATTAAAAATACACGCTTTTGAAATAATTCTCTGGATAAATAGATAAACATATGTAAATAATTATTTAAAATCTGTAGAATTAATTAGAAATGTTTCTGTATTTTTTAGGAAATATATAAGTATATAAAATTCTTGTAAAAAAATACATATTGGAAATAATCGAATGATATTCTTTTATTTGTATCGTTCTATTTGCGACATCGAACGTGGAAAATCGAGTATTTCAAGATGATCAATTTCGGGTTTAACGCGGCACATACGGGATATCGTGGTTATTCAAAATTCATACGGACCTCATCAGCACGTGCCGGAAATGATGCAGCCATAGTTAGGAACGTGATTATTGGAGTGACAGATACAAAATTGAGGTTGAAGGCAAACCTATCCTCGCTGGCCTTGCACGTAATATCATCGTATTGCTCTCTTTTAAGGTACCGCGTGCGGAACACATTGCTGACGCAATTTAACGCGAAGAATTAACATTCGAGGAACAACTAGAGCAATGAGTTGCTTGTTAGTAATAATTATTTGAATTGTATTGCGTAAATAATTTATAATTTGTTCACTTAAATATGTTTATAATGTCAGAAAAACATGTTCAGTTCAGTTTCATCGAATAGTAATTTTATTTAAATATCTAATCAAAATGTACACACATAAAAAATATAAAAAATATAACTTATATTCTTTTATAATTAATTTTTGTATTACTTAACCTTTATAATTAAAGATAATCGAATTACTGAATTGAATAAAAGAATCCAAGTAATACAAATATTAGTTTACACGTTATTTTTTATTCGTGAAGAATTAAAATGTTTTAATGCTATTGAATTTAATGATTTATTATCTGTTTATTATCTTTATCATTAATAATTAATATATAATTTTATATGTTTTTTAAATTATTGGAAAATTATTAATTGTTATAAATATTATTTAGATATATAGTATATAAATATGTGCAAGCAAGAATTATTAACTACTGTTGAAGAATGTATAATGATTTATTCATATAATTTAATGATTGTTCATATTAATATGTTTGTTTTGTACACATGTTTAACGAATTTAAACTTATTTGCTAGTAAATATTTGTTTCAGGTGGAAACACAAGAGCATATGGTGAAAATTCTTCTGGAGACAAAGACGGAACATTGATGGCACAATCAGGAGGTGGTGGAGGAGGCGGTGGAGGTGGTGGAGGAATAGGTTACGGTAGAACTATAAAGGAATACGAAGATGAGTTGAGCAACTTGAAAAAGGAAAACTTCCAGCTTAAATTGCGAATTTATTTTCTGGAAGAGAAAAATCCTGCGAGAAATGGCATCAGTTCTTCTGACGAGGATGTAATCAAGACAAATGTAGAATTAAAGGTTAATTAATATTTGATTTGTTTATTTAAAAATACAATTTATTTCCGTATAATCAAAAAGAATAAAAATTTTCTTAACAAAATTAATAAAATATATAAAATACAATATTTTATATAATTGTTTCATAATTTGTTTTCAAGAAAAATATCTGATTATATTCAAGAAATATTTTCCAAGTATGTTCGAGTAGATATCCACTTAACGAATTTTTATTATTTGTATCTGTTTATTATTTGTGTCTGTTTTTATGACATTGTCAATATCAACTTATTTTGTATCAGTCCTATTAGCTCGTTTCTATCATAGCACATTCGTTATTTTGGATATGATACTTTGAAAATATGAAAAATTATGAAAAATATAATTATGTATTATGTAAAACCTGTAAATCATACCTGTAAATCATAATTTTACCGTTTTATTATAATTATTAAATAATTATTAACGATGAAATCATGATATTATTTTTAGGAGGAATTGGAAAAGTTAAAGAAGGAATTAATGGAGAAGCAGGTTCTTCTTAATCAAGCAGCCAGAGCTTTTAAGTTATATGAAGAACAGAAAGCAGCAACTTCTCGGACTCAAGAACAATATCAGCAATCGCTTGAAAAAGAACGAGAAAAAGTTACTAAGCTTGAGAGAGGTAAGAGAAATTGTTTTGTTTGCTATACAATTTAGCATAGAAATATTTAAAATATTTGTATTCAATATACATTTTATTTATTTTAATTTAAGTTTTTTTTTTCGAATCATTATATATAAATATCTTTTTGATCAGAACTAGCAGAGTATCGAGAAAGGGAAATAGATACATCCATATATTATAAGGAAACATTCGGCATTACTCCGGAGCAGGCATTAAAAAACGCAGAAAAGTTACGGCAGATGGAAGAATTAGTGTCTTCTCTAGAAACAGAGGTATGTTTATTTAGAATGAATGTTAATAATTAACACTGTTAACAAATTTTTATAAGAATATTTATAAATCTGTATTAGTTTGAAACATAGCAAAATTTAATATTATAAATTTCTTATTAATTTTCTTTTAATTTTTTGTTATTACAGTAATTTGTTAATGATAAAGATATATATGTATATACGTATGCTATATAATTATAAGAAAATAATATTTCTGTAGATAATATTTTCAGATAGGAAAATTATTTTTTAAAAATAATATACATATTTATTTATTTATTTATTTGTTTATTATTTATAGATAAACATTTATTGTCGATATCGAGGCCGCGTTTTGCATTTTGTCTCACTGATAGATAATAACTTTGATATGTCATGGGAAAAACCGAAGGAATCAGATAGTACGCATAAATATTTTTTTCTCATGTCTCTTTTAAAAATTTGATATGAATAATTGTTTTTTGTTTTATTGTATAACATTCATAAAGAAAAGATATAAAATAGAGCTTGCAATATTTGTCCAATAAGTGATATATGACACGATTTAGGTGAAACAGATAACTGGCAGTTTGGAAGAGGAGCGAAACTGGGCTCAGGAACTTGAGAATGAGAGAGATCAGTTTAGAGAACGATTAGATGTGGAAACGCGACTGCGAGAAAAGCAAGACAGTGATCGAATAAATAATCTTGAACAACTATGCGATGAGATAAAGGAGTTGAAGGATCAATTATTCAAGAAGGATTCCATCGTGCAACAATACAAAAACGATCTTGCCGAACGGGATAGAATGCTCAAACAGAAGAACGCGTTGCTAGAAGAAAAGAGTCAGGCATATGAAGAAATCAGCCAAGTATCCGAAAAGAGGAAAAAACAGATTATTCAGTTGAGAGCATCCGTGAAAACACGTGACGATGCCCTTACAGAAATAAACAATAAGCATCGTGCATTATTATCACAGGTATATGAATTAAATTGATTTTTATATTGCTTAAATAAATTAGCATTAGATTCTTAGATTGTTGTTTTATATTTAAAGAAATTTGTTGAATTTTGAGACAGAGGTATTAATTAGTTTATGATTCAGTGTGATTCACTTATGATTCTTTTAGAACACATATACAATATTATTGTTCTTTTTTATATTAAATATTCTTTATTGTTAATGTTTATTAATATATATAATAAATATATTTTAAAACATAAAAGGCACATTTAATATTAGATATATAATGTGATATAATACTTGCTGCAGAGATAGAAAGAGGAGAACAAAATCTCAAAATTATATGAATATTAGATATCATAAATTTTTTATTTGCATTTCTTATTATAGTTATTATAATTATATCCATTGTAATTTATAATTATTATCTATTATGCTTTCTAGTGCGAAAATAGCTATGGTAAGCGTTCACCGCCCAGTAGTCCCTCAGCTTTAACTTCGTTGACGAATTATCTGTCACCATCCATGGACCAGAAAGTATCTTGTGTTCAAAATATAACGAAGTGTGATGCTGATGATTATGAATCCAATAAAGAAAAAGCATCGAGTTTGAGTTCACCATTAAACAGAGATGCCAAGGAAATTAAGAATCTTATAAAGGTTAATAAAACATTCTAAATATATTATCTAATCTATATATAAGATAATTTGATTTAACTGAAAGTTTAAGTTGCAGGAACTGGAAGAAAGAGATAATAAATTAAAACAGCAGGAGGAGATTAGGAAGCAGTTGATATTAAAATTATGCAATGCTCAGAAGCAAGTAGAAAATTCAGAACAGAAATTAAAAAAGATGGAAAGCGAGTATCAGAAGGCTATTAGAGCGATACAGGGCTTTATGGAGCGCGAACAACAAATGCGGGATGCAGATTCCCATAAAGAACAGCAGACGGAATTGCGCAAGAGAAGGAACAGCAATGGCCCCGTCTCGTTGAAGGATCTCGGTGTTAAGAATGCAGATGATCTTGAAAACGAATCCTACAAACAGGTCAATATTCATCTTTGATTTTGTTTATCAATTTCTACGTTTCAGAATTAAATATGTTTTACACTTGGATCTTTAAATTATTAGGAAATAATGATGCCTTTAAGTATTATTTGAAATCCTGAAACGTAGAGATATGTTTTATCTGCTGAGAAGCATGATTAGGTAGTTAGTACATTAAATACTTCTTTCTTTCAGAATCTTTAAATTCATCTAACTTCTAGTTCTCCTTTTCTACTTTAGGCCATCGTTTTTATGACTGCATGATCCCTACTGCTTTAAATTATTTTACTTGACAACTGCTTTTTTCAGTGCAGGAATGATTTACTGTATAATATCCTATTTCAAAATCTATCTCTAATTTAATTATCTTGTTCTGCTCAAAGTTTTTGTACATATTTTTTTAATTATTTTTTATAATATATAATATATTATAGGATATGCTGAATAGACTTTAATAGTGCATTGCTTATTGCAATTTATTGTAACAATTACGTTCAGAATACATAGCCGATTATATATTTATTCAGAATACATAGCCGATTATATATTTATTCTTTATTACTTGTGCATAACAATTTTAATAGTTTATCCGAATAATATTTATATTTTTGACAATTAACTTAAAAGTTAATTCGTTTCTGCAGCATAGATTTTTATTGATAATATTTTAAAGAGTTGTTGGGATAAGGTGTTACATAGTTTTTTTTTCTAAAATTTACTATTTAATATTTATTTTAATTTTAATATTTAATTAATAGATAATAGAACTTTTTTTACACAAGCTATAGGATTTATGTATCTACATGAATTAATGTAGGATAAAAAAATCTCAACAGGATCTTAATATTTTTTATTATAAAAAATTTTTACTACAATATATTAGATTAAATGTTTTTAACTGTTAAATATTTTTTAATACCTTTTTATATTATTACATCCAATTGCAAATGAGATTACATCTTTTTATGTAATATTTATATAATATTTCAGATTTCATATTTTATTGAACTTCTTTTGTGCTTATTTATTCAAACTTTACAGAAAGTGTAAAACAGATGATTTTACAGAATTTATATTGTATATGGAAGTACATTATTTTATCAAAATTTATAAATTTTGAAAGACAGGATGTCATTAATTTTAGGACGTATAGAAAATAAATTATGTAATAGAGATATATTAACTTACACCGTTTATATAAATAATTAGAATTTAAGTAAAGAAAAGACTTGATATTTATTAAATATTTACAGAACGATATTGGAACTATTATTTTTTAAATTTTTTTTATTATTTTTTTAGTACCTTTATCATATATCTCTTCCATAGTTCCTTTAATAGGTTTTTCTCCTTTCTTGGTCTTATTTTACAAAGTTTTTCCGTTATAATTTTATATTATAAAGTTTCTTGAGGAAAATTCCGTCTCAACTTTAGTCGGAGAAATTTTTTGGAGTTCTGAAGCGCGACTCGTCTGGTATCTCGGGAATATCATGCGGGAAGACGCGGTCGTTGTCTATTAATAGAGATCGTCTTTTCTCGCGGCTTCTTACGACCTATGAGTTGCGATACGTGGCAGTCCTCATACGAAAATTCATCTCGACCGATCAGCCGCCGCAGTCGCGGTAGCATCGAACGAATAATAATACAAGAATACAACAACGAACAACAACGAGATAGATTCGCTGATTGTTGAGCTTTCGACGATACCAGATGAGAACGACTCGCGTCTGCATGTTCTGGAAATAGCGCATGATTGGTAACTCTTAACGCAGCGTAGCGAGAGGAAGTCATTACTTGTCCTACATGAATAAATTGAGAGAATACAAAGAGATAGTCATAATTTGTGGAAATATACAAAATATATTTTAAAAAATTTGCATAGAAAAGTGAAGAAATCTTGTTAATAATTACACAGCATAAAAGCAATTCAGAATAAATTGATAATTATAACGTGTAGGCAGTTGATATTGGCATAGTCTCTATATTAAAGGATATTCACCAGTGCTGATCGCACTAGCACTGACGTAGAGTATCTATTTGCAAGTTAATTGATTGATTGCCGCTTTCATTGCTGCTCCATTCTAGTTGAATTAAAAATTCAACAACAACTAAATATGTTTTCCTGTCTGTGCGCTTCAATGCGGATGGAGGTAGGTATAGTGTTGGCGAGTGCTATCATTGACTGCTATCTTGATATTTTTATTAAGAATGCTTATCATATTTAGCTGAGCTTTATGAATTTCTTCTCTGAAATGTGTTTTTTTTATAAATGCATGTATTATAAATCAAAATCAGAAAATATTTTAAACTGAAATATTAATCAATACTAAATTATTTGAGTAAATATTGTTAAACACTTGACGAATTAATTGGCTTTTTCAGAAATAACATATATTTCAAAACAATAAAAATGTAATTTTTATGCTATGTGTATAACTTTAATGCCAATATTTTAAATATGCATAAAAAATATAAAAATTATTGATTTTTAAAATTAAATGATTTTTAAAAGGTTCAATCTGAAATAAAAGTTATATCTTTTTTAATAAAATTTAAGAATTTTCAATTATTTAAAAATTATTTAGATATAATTATAAAATTAACACAAAACGTATATTACATGCAAACATAAAAATGTATATTATAAAATTGTAATATTTGTGTCAATGATTAAAGACTATTTCTTTGATGAATTAAATCATACTTTTTAAATTATTTTCTATTCTATATATTTTTTTATATGTAAAAACGTTGCTATCATTTATCAAAGAAAATAAAATTCTTTATATATTGTATGTTGAAGCAATTTTGTTCTAAGATTTTTTTTATTATATAAATCTTAAAATGACATATTTCTTCATTAAGAAAGACAATGAGAAAAATGACAAGAAATGTATTTTCCTTTTAGGGACCAGCAATTATCACACTAGTACCGCCGCGACGTTGGTCTAAGAAAACGAAAAGTTAACAAATTATTGTAACTGTTTCCCTGCGCATGAATGTAAAACTTGCATGTAACGTTTTTGTGCTTTCTTCTATTTGTCAATTTTTTGAAAGGTCTATTATACATGAAGTTGATTTCACTGTAATCAAAATTATATATTTGAATAAAGTATTCTCAGTGAACCAATAATGTTTTGAGAGTTTTATTGATATGAAATGATACTTTATGCTTGCAGCAACGTTTTGAAGAAATGGAAAACAAGATTAGCGACTTGCGAGACCAAATCGAGACAATAAAAGCTGAGAAGAATCTTCTGGAAAAACGAACGCAAGTCGAATGTAAGGTATGTCATAATGCAAATATAATTTTATATATTATAAATATATAAAATATATATAAATATATATAAATATATAATATTTTATATATTGTAAAAAATTATCAGTCTTAATATATTAAAGATCTAATAATTGAATAACGTTTTTTATCATCGACTGTATAATTCTGAATAGATATTGTAGATATTATTTTAAACAACATCTGTAATATTAAATAAATATTAAATATTAAATAAAATATTAATTTAGAGGCAAAGTGTTGAATGTTATAAGAAGAAAATAATTAATATAAAAATAATTGATGTTTATATTGTAATTGTGTGTTTAAAAATATGTTTTATTATTCTTGCATATATATTATGTTTTTATTTATTAAACCCAATTCTTAATTATTATACAAAATTTATAATCTATCGATAATTCTCTGTTATAATTGTCATTGTCTATGTAACATATATAATTTCTATTATCGAAAGAACATATAACTTTCAATTAATAATTTTAATTTTAATTTATTGTATTTTTATTTGTATATTTACAGATTTTTAAATAAAATATATGTTATAAATATATTTAATAATTCTATATAAGAAATATTATTTGGTTTTATGAAAATCTCAAATTAACTTTTTTTTTTTTCATTATAGGAACTTCAAGTTCGTCTTTTAGATAAAGAACAAAAAATCGAGATTCTAGAAATGGAGAAACAGATTATTACAGAAGACTTAAAAGACAAAATCGCCGAGCTCGATAAACTGAGATACACCGACGCAAACAGTGTAGATGAAGTTACCACCACTAATTATCGCGACGATACTCTGGGAAGAGAAGATTTGCTTGAGCAATTGAATCAACAAAATGCTGAGATCGAAGAAAAGAACCGCAAGATCGAACAATTGACAAAGGAACTGCAGATGACAACTCAGAATCTACAGATGTTGGTCAATACAGAACTCTGGAGCAAGAATAAGGAAATTGCTAAGCTACATAATCATATGACAGCATCGTACAGTCACGATAAAAATCGTAATAAACCCGAAATAGTCCAGGAAGTCGATAACAGCTTGCAGTTGACGAATTTGATACGTGAACTTAACGAGATTGGTGTCAAAGTTAATTTCACGAATGAGATTGTCCAACTCGATTACATCAATGGAAACGAAACAGTAAACGTAAAAACATTAAATGAATGCGTTCAGAGGCTAACGAGTCAGCGAAACGATTTAGAGAAGGAAGTAGACTATCTGAAATGGCTAAAACTCGTATCAAAGCCTGATATCGCTGCGGAGATTGATGGTTGTGGTAACGAGACAGAACGGGCAAAGAAATATTGCGAGCTGCTGCGCACGCATTTGAAGGATCTGGTGAAGTTCATGAAGGAAATGCTCAAAAATACCGATCGTGCGGATACCATTGGTAACGAACACAAGAAACTTGTATTGGAGGTTCTGCTCAACTCCAAGATATTATCGGATGATTTCATGCGCGCTCTTGAAGGCATGAGTGTGCAAGACGATGTAGTTGTGAATGATAGAATCGACGAATCTGTGAAAAGAAGTCGATCCGAAAACGTAATGGACATGTCGAAAAATCAGGGATCGCAGTCGGATTCTGAAACGTTCTCGGAACCCGATAGAACCGTTTCAATGGCCAGAATTGGTCTGCAGGAGAAGCAACACAAGAACTTGAGCCGTTCCAGATTCACAAAATACACCAAAACTTGCAGCGACTCCGAGGACTCCGCGGATTATGTGCCTTATTATAAGACGTATCAGAACGATCTCAGCGATTTAGACGCGAGCCATCAGATACAAGAGTTGAAAGAAACGAATAATATGTTGTATTCTGAACTTAACGCTTTAAGGAACGATTTAGTTACGAAAATTTCTTTCGATTTTGTAAGTGTATATTTTTGTATATTTTTAGCTCGTGTATTGGTTAGCTTAATGCATTGTCAAACGAAACAATTTGTTTAAAAATTAATGTATTCTTTAATTGGAAGTTGAAGTGTGAATTTATCCTGATAATTTATGAATATATAATATAGAAGTTGAATTTTATTTGCAGGTAATCGAAGAAAAATTAACGCCGTTCATTACTAAGTTAGAGAAATCACAAAGATTTTGTGAAAAATTACAAACTTCTTTAGAAAAAAGAATACATGAGTTCCATATGTTGAGAAAGGAGAACAAGCAGAATAGTATTCGCAAGACACAATTAGAGAAAAAGATTAATGACGTCGAGCAAATGGCGAGTGAAATTACCAAGCAGAAAGTTGAATTTCTGCAGTATAAAGAAAACACGGAAAGAAAAACTACAGAAACCCTTGTAATACTCAACAAAGAAAACGAATCGGTAAGCGTATATTACTTTTTACACTAGTTATTAAAAGTCGCAAAAAATTTTGATTATTTGATAATTGTTTAGCTACGAGCGAGAATTAAACAACTGGAGGAAGAAACGGAAACTGCTAAAGCAACTATATCCATACTCAGAAAAGAACTGGATCATCTTACTCTTTCACATAGTCAGATACTCGTGGAGAATACCAAATTAACGAACGATAAGTTAAGACTCGAACAAGATATAAGGAAAATGGAGAATCGATACGATACGACTGTTCGTTCGCTACATGACAAATTTAGCAAAGAGGTAAGCAGAGCTGCATTAGTTTATGGAAGTGTTTCCCCTGTGTGTGTCATTACTAATACATAATATGACGTCGCCGTATAGATATGTGATCTCAATCAGATCAACGATTTGCATAGAGCAAGAGTGCAAGAACTCGAAACGGTGAATAAAGAGTTCAGAAGACACATGGCGGTGTGCGAAGTTAGCGATTCAGCGGCGAGCTCAAGTGGCGTATCGTCAATACCCACGGACGCCACACTCAAACAAACTTGCGATGATATTCTGCAGGAATATCAACCGTATAACGTTAGTTGCTCGCTGTATTTTAGTGTTAAACGGCTGTGTGATTTTTAATTTTATTTAAATATATTAAAAATGAACAACGTATATAAATAAATTGTTCATTTTTAATATTTATAGAGATTGTGAATTAATTAATATATCATGCTTACAATATTTTAATAAAATCATCTAATTAAATAATTGCATGTGGCATTAAATATAACGATATTAGTATATTTTATCTTATTTAATAACATATGCAAATTTTATCTTATTTAATTTAAATGTTGCATATTAAAAATATTTTATAATTCTATAATTTCTATAACGCTTTTATTGTTAAATTTATGTGTTAAATTTATGTGTATTATTTATGATGTATTATTTGTGATTAATTTATATGAGATATACACACGTTATAAATTTATATTGCATACTCCTTGATTTATTTAAACTTACTTATAATTAAGAATAAAAGATTCAAGCTTTGATTTCCGAAATTTATTACAGAACTCACAGTTTTGGCAACCGACAAATTATTCTGCTCTCGGAGGACGCAGTAAATCTAGTTGTTCACCAGATTTAGGAATAGAAAGCGATGCCGCTGTTACAACAATGAGACCTTTGAAAGATACATTAAAGATCACAGAATCTATGACTAATTTATTAAGTGACGAAGATAATGGTAATCACAGAGCTCGAGATTCAAACAGTGAAAGTCCATTACCAATAGAAGGTGCGTTTTGAAATGTTATCTAAAAATTCATTATAAACATTCTTTTTCTTATTTTTACAATTTAATTATGAATTACATTTTTTTACATCTTTACTATTTTATTGTTTGATTTTTAATGTTGCTATTTATTTATTTAAATTTGTTAATGTTTTCAATTTTTATATAATCTCTTGTCAATCCTGATTTATTGCGAATTTCTTCATTCATTTTTATTTTTTGCTATTAAAGATTCTGTGCAAATTGAAATATTTGATTTTCAATTTTAATAAAGCTCATTTGTAAATACTTATACTTTCATTCTTATTAATCTTTGATCATCTATATTGTTATTTAAAAAAATTAAGATTATATTTATTTATTTTATAGTTTTAATTTCAGATTAATTAATTTTATATTTAATATTTTTACTTTCTTTAAAATTTATTCTAAAGTATGATTCTGATTCTGTGATTTCTTTTATAGGTCTTGAGGAAGTGGAAGCTTTGAAACAAGAGAATGAAGCGTTAAAACGAAGACTGATGAAAACTAGAAAAGCATTGGAAGACACATTTGAACACTTATCAGCTTCAAACAAAAACAAGAAAAATGTTGAAAAGGCTATAGTAAAACAGCTTATGGTCACAAGAAATATCCTCAAAAAAACGAGGACATATGATGAACCTTTGGACAATTAATAGAGATTACAGACTGACTAATCGATCAAAAAATATACACGAAGTGAAAAAGAAGAAGAGCAGAGAAATTGTTACTTGTTGAATTGTGTTCTCATAGATTAATTGATCATTCAATATGTATCGTGTTTTATCTGTGTTTCTCATTTATCTCCTCTCACATTTTTTCGAGATAAGAGAACAAACGATACATATCGGTACAAAAAATTGTAATACTCATACAAATTGTAATACTCATGTTACAAAATTTTTAAACGAGTAAGATTTCTAAGTGAGATATTTTCATACAAACACAAAATATCTATTTTCGCTATTTAAAAAAGAGAATATAAAAAATAGATAAAGAAAGAAGATAAAAAGAGCTCAAGATGAATTTGTACATTGAGATTTGTATATATTTATACGAAAAACGCGCATGATATTTTTGACATTTTTGTAGATTTTTTTTCTTTCATCGTGAAAAAGTTCTTTCAAATGAAACTGAATACGGCGCGAACCATGCCGATATTAAAAACCGTTTTCGTTTGTGACGTGATTCTGCTTGTGGATAACAGAAATTCGCGTATGTATGTACATAATTATCTCATATATCGTTATGTAGCATCTGTACATAGTCACCACGAATAAAGTGCCATTATAGAATTTATGCGTTAATCACGAAATGCGTATTCGAGCAATGTTATATTTGTTACCCTATGTGTTAGTATTTTGAAAATTTGTTTCCCTCCCTCTCCGAATTTTCATTATTGATACTGTATGTCTTACATCTAATGCGCATTTTTACGCGATGTTTTTGAGAATGTAAAAATGAAACCATGCACAGGATAAGATTATGATAGAATTTTTATTATCACTCCATGACTAGATAATAATATAAAGATTCGTAATAACTCATAGTGATGTGAAGTTTGCGACCTGCGCCAGACACGCGAATTCCTTTGGCCGCACATCCGGCGAGGAGCGGAGAGAAATACTGTACAACATTAATCTTTCTTATAAGTCTAATATACCTTTCTTACCGTTTCCTTTCGTTCGCGGTAATCGCACCCGTTGGTAGAACGTATGTTTAAAGAGCATTATAAGAAGATAAGGGGAGTATGAAGGAGGTGAAAAGGGCTGGGAGCAGTACTGAGGTATATTATATACAATTCTACAGTGACGTTTTCGCGCTTCTGTCGCTGCTGTTGCATGCCAGCATACTATTTAATAATAATATGAGACAATTTAAGAGAATCAACCTATTATTCTATTTTATTCTTTGTTAAACTTGTAAATATTTTATAAAGTACCATCAAGCGTGTTTCTTCTGATATACTTTGGTAATATTTTGTGTATTATCACATGTATTTAAATCAAATACATGTGATAATATACTTTGTTAAAATTTAAAATTTATATTTATATCACTCTAAATAGACAAAATATATAAAAGAAAACATTAGAAAAATTATGATATGCAAGATGAATTGAAATATTCTACTTGCTTGAATTTACGAAAATGTTAATGTTGTTAAAATGTGAAAGAGCAATCAACTTGTTAATTCAAGGGCGAGTCTCATATTATTATTACATTCATCACGCTTAACATTTATCATACATCCAGTCGTTCAATTTATTTTTCTTCTGTTTTGATTATCAACACATTTTACGACTTACAAGCCGAAAACAGCTTTCCAATTTTTTCTCTGTATGCACAATGAGTCACTTACAAGTTATCGTTAATCGACGGCTTACGTGATCTCGTAATCAATCAGCAGCGAGGTACAGTTTGAAGTTATTATAATTTTGATCGTTGATTGCATAAGTCGACGTGCAAAAGTAACAATGTAGAATGCACAAGATCGTCCAATTCTATTTAGAGATGTGACATTGCATTCACTTTTCAGACTTCGAATTTGTACTAGATATAATAATTAAAAAGTTATCCAATAAAATACTATGCGTACGCGAAGAAGCAATTGAAAATTCGTCAACGTAACGTTATTGTGCATATTGTGACTTTTGCACGTTTTCAATCTTCTTGCGCAACTTCAATTAACAAGAAAAGATTTCCAATCCACATCATTCGATTTTGAAAAGTTATTATTTCTACATAGTATAATATCAAATTTGTAAAAGAAAACTTTTAAATGTAATATAAATTTTTTAATTAACGTAGAGAACAATTTTGATCTCTTTTCTTGTTTCCTACTAATTAAGTAATTAAGAAGTAATAATTAAAATCGGATATCTCGGATTGGATTAACTTTTCCTATAGGTCTAATTCGTACTATTTACAATACATATTTCAAGATTCTAGCGTCACACGCAAGCAAGATAAATCGTCAACATGCCTGATGCCCGATTTTCAAAATCGAAATTTTTGAATGTCACTTAATAACAACAATAAATTAAAATATATTATTTTATTCTGATTGGATATCAAAGAATAATTTTTGCTTTTTCTATTCGATGATAAAATAAAACAATAAGACAATAATCTTTTTAAAAATGTAGATATACAAAGTATTTTATCTTTCCGAGAGATTACATATCTTCAAATATTTTAAAGATAAAAGGAAGATATAAAAAACAACACTTCTATCCGTCAAGAAAGTGATTTGATCATATGTTAATTTTCTGCATAAAATCTTAGTTATAAATTGTACTCAATATCAACATAAAGCTCAACGATCAATTATTTTTTGATGTTTTAAAACAACTTATTCCATGAAAATCGGGTTTAGAGGCAGTGGTATGGTCATACGAATGATCACGTTCGTCGTGATGATGTAGATTTGACGAGAATGAAATATCTAAAAGTACTTATTTCATAACTTAATAGAGAAATTAGAAATAAAACTTGCACATGCACATTATAAAATCTGTAAATTTTTATATTTTAAAAGTTATCTTGTGCAACTTGTTGAACAAAATTATGACGAAAAATTATTCTTGAATTTATTTAACGGTTAATTATCATGGTTATCACGACGAGTGGATCCGCGTATCGAACAGTCCGGGACACGTTTAACACTACCTCTTATTATTATTCGACAATCAAACTCCGTAATACCGAGAAACGAGGAACTTGTACATAAATATATTTAGATTAGTCGTATCGAATGCGAATCGTACGTGTGCCATAAAATTAATGTTGTATGGCGTCAATACGGTCACTCGGATGACGAAAGATCGTGAGGAGGGACGGTGTAAAAACCGACGTAGAATAACTGGATCTAGATCTCGTGAGACGTTCATGAGCATCGCACTATCTATCGTCGTTGAAGACATTGTTTCTCGACAAATTTTTCCAGTGTGCTTATAATTTTCCAAATTTCAATGAAGCTTCATTACTAATTCAAATTTATCCTAACGCCAAATGATAGTGTAAAAGATCTAAGAGCGAGAAAACTAATCTTTTTTTTATTAAACGTAGGATCACTGACAATTATAAATTATGATATAAATTCTATAAGTCATATATTTGTAAAATAAATTGAAATGGAGAAATATTATAAATAAAAACACAATCATAATTGTATAATAAAATAATTAATATTACAATGGTCACTGACAGAATAAAAAGATATTCTGAAAGTAGTTATTTTTAAAAATAACTATTTTCAGAATTAAAAAATTCTTGATATAGTAATATTACTATATCATTTCAATAATATTTCAATAATATAATTTCAATAATATAATATACACTATACACAGTACCATGAAAATGTATAAAATCGCCAAATATAGTATAATAAAGATTTATTCTCGCTTTTGGATCTCCCACATGTAAAAGATTTTAGACCTTCCTTATTACCTTTCTGATTTAACAATCAAAGACGTCAGCATAGTATCAGATTTTGTCTAATAGATTCAACAGTTTTGGAAATTTACAAAATGTACCATCTCGTCAGAAGAAATAGATTTCTTCAGCCTCCCCGAGGACGACAACGACGACGAGGCATGGCATCGACAATCTCAGGTGAACGCCCCGTTTCGCCAGCACGTTATTCTATACGGTATTTGGCGACGCGCGGTTTTGGCGGG